CGGCACGGGGGATGAGCAGGTGTAAAAAAGAAAAAAAGGCGAGTGAGGCGTGACTGACTCGAACAGCCAACCTTCTGATCTGGAGTCAGACGCGCTACCATTGCGCCAACGCCCCGCTGCTAAAATAGCAAGGATAGGGTCGCATCTATCCACTCATCCACTCACTCACTGACTACAGACTTGTTCTGAACCAACCGTGGACCAATTTATTGGCCGCCTGACAAATTCATTGCTTTGATTGCGTTAATTGCTTTGGTTGGTTGGTTGGTAGGTTGGTTGGTTGGTTGATTGGTTGATTGCTTGATTAGTTGAACAATCAATTGATTGACTCTACTCTGCTTTGCTGACCTGAAGGGAGCAGGAGTTGTGAACAGGAGGAACAGGAACAAAGAACGGAGGGGAGGGAGGGGAGGGGGGGTTGGGAGGCAAGGTTTTGTATAGTAGTGAGATCCAGTACTGGCTGCACTGCATGATCAAACACTACACAGGCAGGGCAGGCTGGAGGGGCCTGGGGCCCAAAATGGATGGGAAATGGGAAGCAAAGAAAAAAAGGTTTGTTTGTGTCACCGCCCAGGATCGAACTGGGGACCGCCTGTGTGTGAGACAGGCGTGATAACCACTACACCACGGTGACAGGCATAAACACAAACGCAAAGCTCCTACTGACCACACCACACCACACCACACCACACCACACCACACCACACCACACCACACCACACCACACCAGCCATCCCACCATCCATCCCACTAACCCCTCTGTGTGTGCGTGCGCGCATTTGAATGTGTGGTTGTGGCGTGCTACTTCTTTTGTACCATCCCCGCCCCCTCCCTCCGCCCCCCCCCCCGCCTCCCAATCTATTGACTATTGATTGATCTAATTGTACTATGTTCCTTTGTTTTCATATTTGCTTTGCCTCTGTTTCCTCAGCTGCTCCAGACATGTGTGGCTTCCACACTACCCCATTGTCACAGTTTGGTGATCCAACAATGGCTTGGGCTGGTGGCACAGGCTGGTGGCGCAGTCCCTCATATGCCAAGCGTTGCCCTCGCTCTCCCTCTCTCTTGTCATTCGTGTGATACAATCCTTGATTATCCGGCTAGTTATTCCTTGTGGCGCAAGACCATTCCCTCCCCCTTGGCACCTTACACCCATGTTGGGTGCAAGTGGTGGCCTCTTCTATTCCACATTTGCTCTTTGTTTGTTGCCAGCACTGCCCACCCAGTGGGAGCAAGTTGGGTGGGCGCAGAGCCATCATGTGATTGAGCCAAGCTGATTGCATGCATCATCATGCATGGGCCTCCATGTGGAGAGAAACACTAGGGCTTGCTTGGTTGCTTGCTTGATTGCTTACGCTGCACCACTCACATGGGTGGGTGGGTGGGGTTGATCAATAATGGAATAAGCAGAAGCAGACAAAGTATAGAAATGAAACAAAGAAGAAAGCTGAAAAAAAAAAGAGAAGAAGAAGAAAGAAATACACAAGGAGGAGGAGACAGGGATATCTGCAGCACAAAGGAGGAGGTGCAGAGGTGCAGAGGTGCAGAGGTGCAGAGGTGCAGAGGTGCAGAGGTGCAGAGGTGCAGAGGTGCAGAGGTGCAGAGGTGCAGAGGTGTGGAGGTGTAGAGGGCGTGCAAGTGACTGACTGACTGAGCGGCTCAGAGGCTGACAGACTGATGGATGCTGGCCAACTATCCTGGGCCTGACAGTGGCTGGGTATTGGTTTGGTCTGTCTCTCTATTGCCCTTGCCCTTGACCTTGGAATGTGTGTGTGCACCCTTGTGCGCTGCCAGCCTATCTGCCAGCTGTGGGTTCAGCTGAGCAGGGTTGGCATCAATCAATCCATCAAAGGATCTGTTTCACAAAGCTGTTGGTGGCAACATGGAAGGGGGTGTGTGGGGTGTGTGGGGTGTGTGGGTGGGGAGCAGAATGGGTTGCAGGGCAGCGAGCAAAGTAGGGAGGGGAGTACCAGGCAGGGCAACAACAACACATGGGGGGTACGAATAAAAGGGAGAGGGGGAACCAACCTCACATCCGTGTTGATCGTTGGTGTTTATTGCTGTTTGCTGGCAGGAGATTGAAGGGTATCAGGGTAGATATAGCGTTGAGCGGCCGAGCCATCATGAGCGATTCTCGTGTGACAACGTGTCCGAGCGGTTAAGGAGATAGACTCGAAATCTATTGGGCTCTGCCCGCACAGGTTCGAATCCTGTCGTTGTCGTTTTCCTCTCCGTCTATTTTTTTGCGCATACCAAGACGAGCCAGGCACTGACTGAGTAAGCCCATTAGCGCGTTTGCCATGTGTGCGCTCCCATGTTCAGGTAGTGAGAGGGTAAGCAGGCAGACAGGGGATGATGATGATGTATGGGGGTGGTTTGGGGATGTGGGGATGTGGGGATGTGGGGATGTGGGGATGTGGGGATGTGGGGATGTATGTTCTGCAGACCCATGACTGTGTTCTCAGTGCACACTAGCTAGCTCAAGTAGCAGGGCCTGCAGTAGTAGGTGAGAGATTTGAAAGCTTTCCAAGGAAGCGGGGAGTTGACTTGAAGTAGAGTGAAGGCCATAGGAGAGGAGAGGAGAGGAGAGGAGAGGAGAGGAGAGGAGAGGAGAGGAAACCATCCACAGAATAATAGAAGCCTATACATACACATGCAAGGCCGCTGCAAACAAACACAGGAGGACAGGAAGCAAAACGTGGACGGAAAAAGCAAGACGAGAACAGAGAAGCGTGGGGGAAGAAAAAGAAAAAATGACAAAGGTCCTACTGAGATTCGAACTCAGGTTACCAGATTCAGAGTCTGGTGTGATGACCGCTACACTATAGGACCTTGAATTCCATGGGAGGTTTGTGCTCTACTTCTGCATGCACCCAACGCACCCTTGCAACCAGCATCACCCCCAGCCCTCCCTTCCCTCTTCTTCCCTCCCTCCCTCCCTCCTGCCCCTTTCCATCCTCCTTCCCGCACCACCTTGCTTCCCTCATCCCCCTGACCTGCTCAACAACCCTCCTCCCCACCTACCAGCCTACCTCCCTCTCTGCCTCCCTGCCTCCCTACTTGCATTGAGTGCCATGCATATGGCAAGACACCCCTTCTCCATTCCCCGCTACCCCATGCCACTCAACAACACCTGCATTCTCATCCATACATACACCCCTTGCCACCCACCCAGGTCCTGCTTGCTACACAACCAAGCAAGGCTTGACCCATGTAAAACGCATGCGCGCGCGCGCGCTTCTGCCTGCCACCAAGCACGCCCCCATTGTGGCAAATTGTGCATAGCACACAGAAAGAAAAAAAAAAAAAGGTAGGTGCGAAAAGAGAATGAGGGAAGAGAATAATGATAGGACACATAAAAGACAAGAGAATACCAGGACAAGAACTAACTAAGAGAGAGAGAAAACAAACACAAGAAATATACAACAAAGTGAACAGAAGGGCTTGTGAATGACAACTGAGAGAGAGGGAGAGAAAGCAAAGAAACAAAACGAAAAGAAAAAGAACAAATGAGGGAAATATATATATATATATATATATATATATATATATATATATAGAAAACAGCAAGAGAAGCAAAGGATGACAAGAAAGAAAACCATGAGTGAGTTACAAACAACCAGAGAATGGAAATGGAAATGCGAAGAAGATGAAGAAAAAAGAAAATGAAGGGAGAGGGAGAGAGAGAAAAATAGAAAAAGCTAGTCTTGGATGCTTAAATGTTAGGGAAATGTAAAAGGAGAAGCCCTCGCGGACCCCGCACTGCTGCTGCAATCCGAACCACTGGGACAGGTGTGAACTCTGCACCCCCAGTCAGCATCATGCACACAGGCCAGGCAGGTCATCATCAACTTTGTCCGCTCCACTCACTCACCACACACTGTCTGTGCATTTGACCCAAGCAAAGGCCTTGGGTGAGCCACTCACTCAACCTTCCACATAACTGACTGTCCTTGTGGTGTTGCTATTCACACAACATACCCAAGCATGCAAAGTGCCCAACGTGATGAACGTGCCCAATGCGCCAACGCACTGTTTTCTCTTACACTCTCTTCCCTTCCTCACTCCCACGCCCACACTGCCCACACTGCCCACACTGCCCCCACATTGTCAATCTGAAGCCCCGCCCCCCTGGTGCATGCATTACACGTCATGTGGCACAGGTGTACAACAATTGGCCCCTGACAACGTTCCAGTGGATGGTGCGTGATTGAAACGCACGTCACTGCCATAGAGGAGGACATGACAGTGGGCGCCTGCTGGCACTATAGCAGCTGCCCCCTCTCCCTGCCAACCAACCCACTCTCATGTTCCTGTCATGGGATGGATGCACCAATGCAGGCCATTGTGAATGGCCTGCCTGGTGGTTGGTTTACATGAGCTGAGAATGGGGCCTCATTGGGCAAGCATGGGTTAGGGCTGCCTCAAGAGGTGGCGGCTCTTCTCAATTGGACAAGACATGGGGTTTGATTTGGCCATGCGCTGTCCAATGCAGACAAAACAAAGGCCCCCTGCATACCCTGCATATCTGCAGATATTGCATGCGTTAGGTGTTTTGCTTGAAGAAGGTGTTGCTGCTGCCTGTCCCCACCACCACCCCCTTCTGGCTTGTAGGATGCTGCTGGTTCCTAGCTTTGATGTTGTTTCTTTCTTTGTCTTTGTCTTTTTCTTTTTCTTTTTCTTTGTCTTTCTTTGTCTCTTATTTCTCTTTATATTTCAATTGTTGGGCCCCTCCCACAAGTGATCAAAGTAAACGTTGCACAACAGTTGGCGCTAGGATCTGCAGCGTCTTGGCGCAGAGGAAGCGCGCAGGGCTCATAACCCTGAGGTCGTAGGATCGAAACCTACAGACGCTAGCTGTTGCAACTCTCCTTTTGCTTTTGCGTCGCTCCGCCGCCATTTTGTAGCAGGGAGGGAAGGAGGGGGGGGGGTAGGCTGCAAGCGCTTGGTTGGGCAGGCAGACGTGCAAGACTTGGCCAATCCAAGATGCGTTCATGGTGAGCAAAGTAAGCCAACTGATCCTCTCTCATTCCCTTGGGGGGTGTATGTATGTATTTATCTATCTGGCTATCTATGTGATGTGATGTGATGACGACGCATCACTGCTACAAGCATGCAAGCAAGCAAGCCCCCCCCCCCAGAGATGGCAGGCACCTGCACCAGCCAGCACCAGCACCAGCACCAGCACCAGCAGCGGTGCAAAAGTTAACAAAAATCTGTCATCTCCCAGAATCGAACTGGGGTCGCCACGGCCACAACGTGGAGTACTAACCACTATACTAAGATGACTGTACGCGCAAGGGGAACCACAAGGGCCATATCCTTGCGCTTTCTCTCTTGCGTGCGTTGCGTCCTACAGGGACAGACAGGGACAGACAGGTGGTGAGAAAATGAGCGAGTGAGTGATTGAGTGATCGAGTGATCGAGTGATCGAGTGAGTGAGGGGGTGAGAACAAAAAAGAAAAAAGAACAGGAAAAGGAAAGGAGAGACAAGGAGAATAGATCAATGCAGCAGTGCGCGCATGGGGCAGGCAGCTGAGGGTGGTGGGAGTACTCAAGCCCCTGTCAGTTCATTGGCAGCCAATCAACCAGTCAAATTCTCTTTACATTGGTGGACATCCAGCACGTCAGTGATGTATTGGGGAAGGGGAAGAAGGGGGGGGGGGGTGGCAGGGCGTGCAAGGAGGAAGCATCAACTCAACTCAGCATAACCCGGCCTTGCTTACCTGCTTACCTGCTTGCCTGCTTACCTGCTTTGCTTACCTGCTTACCTGCTTGCCTGCTTGCCCGCTTGCCCGCTTGCCTGCTTGCCTGCTTGCCTGCTTGCCTGCTTGCCTGCTTGCCTGCTTGCCTGCTTGCCAATATTCGTTGACTGTTATCTGGCACAGCTCTTGTCTGCGTACCGATTTATTTTTTCGTCCTCTTTTTTACTTGAGTCTGTGTTCCTTTCTCTGTGGCATACATAGCTGGGTCTGGGTTTTTCTGATCTGCGCAGCAACGCTTGTCATGATGGAGAGTTGGGCGTTGAGCAAGGCAAGCTGCCGTGAGGGGGAGGGCACAAAACCGTTGTAAATGCCAAGTGAACGGCAAAATGTAGGGGCTCGTCCGGGGATTGAACCCGGGACCTCGCACACCCGAAGCGCGAATCATACCACTAGACCAACGAGCCAAATGCAGCCCCCAACATTTCCAAAACCCAGATGTTGGCGCAGGCCATCCCACCCAAACCTCACTCCCCACTCCCCACCCTAACTCACTAACTAACTAACCAACTAACTAACTAACTAACGGACCAAGCAGCGGACTAATCAAGTAAATGCCTCGCTTACTAACCAACTTACTCACTAACTGACTAAAGTTGGGACTGACTTGACTCACCCTGAGCTGATGATGCTGACAACGCAGGTGGGCAGCCAGGTCAGACCACTGCCAAGCGCACTGAGCTTTTTGAGTATACAAACGCCAACCCGTCGCGCTTCCACGCCAAGCTGGAATTTGGTTGCCTCCTAGATCTTGATTGGAATTGCATTCATTGCCTTGACAAAAAAAATGCTCCCACCCACCCACTCCCTGAACGCAAGCACCACCACCACAGTCTTGTTTTCCCCATGTGTGATGGTTTTCTGATCATCTTTTCTGGAAGCTAAATGTGCATTTTTGTAGCAGCTGGCTGGTTGCAGTGCAGGCTGCCTAAGAAGACACTTTCCATGACCAACAGCACATTCCACCAGATGTCCCTTGCCACCACACCTGTTGTGCAGGTTGGTTTGTTTGCTTGCTGTAATGCAAAGTAAGTATCTTGCTGAGTTGTCCTTGTCTCACACATGCCCTCCTACTATGCTACCAACTCAAAAGCACACTATCTTGTCCTAACTTGATTCTGTGCAGGGAGGGAAATGATCCCCCCCCCTTCCTCCTTCTCCCCTGTCGTCCCCTGTCAATAAAGAAGACAAAGAAAAATAGGGGAAAAAATGAACAATTGACAAGAACAATGCAATCCAGTAGAGCCTGATGCATCTCGCCCGCTTGCTGAGCATAGTCTCAAGCGACTTGGATCAAATCACAAGCGCTGCACATGGTTGCACTGTCTCCATGCTTCAGACAGCGCGTCATGTCAATGAAGAAACGAGCTCCCAAGGTCATACACAGCAGTCAGACGGAGAGTGTAGCCAGCCTCTGCGGGTCAGCTGAAATTGTAACCCAACAACCAATCCCAGGGGTC